GTACATATGGCCTACAGCAAAAATCTATTTTTTGTCTAAGTAACACTGCCAATTCAATTCTCTAATGCTTACTTGTCTTCATGGCATAGCTTTACCCTTCATTTTATTTATGGCTAATAGTGTGTTTGAACATAAGGCATGTCTCCTGTAGACAGGATAGAGTTGAGGAGCTTTTTCATCATCTTATAATCCCATCTTTGATTGAAGTGTGAAGCCCACTTCTCCACCAATGGGACATGATCATGCCATAATCCCTTTCCTCCACCCTGTCAGGATCCTAAGCACACAAGAACATGCAAGCCAGAATACTTTCCAAGCTGTAGGTGCTGGGTTTCACACCCCAGTCAATGATGTGGATCAGGCTGCCTATCACAGTGCTCAGTTGCCATGCTATAAACAGTAATTGCCAGAGGGTGCATGTGCTCTCCATATACAAACAGAGACAGAGAAAGAGGGAGAGGAAGAAAGCACCCCACGATGGAGTGTGGTCAAGATGCAATCTCTTCTCCATTTCTCTATTCTATAGAGATTTGGGGCATGCATGCATAAGTGCCCAGCATGTTTTTCAAGCTACTGGGGCCAAGATTTGAACTGTGGTGGGCCATGTGGGATCTGGCATCCTTACTCACAAGGCTTTTACCTGGCCCAACTTAGGAGTAATTTTTAAATGAATATATAAGAGGGAAATTTTTAGAAAAATTTCTAAATGATCACCCTGTGATTCTGTTTTAGTAGTTTTCTTATATAACCAAAGAATTCTAAATGTTTTAATATTGAAAGCAATACTCTAAATGCAACGTGTTATTCTACAAGTTAAAGATTCTTTACATAAGGGCCCGTCCAGAAGACAGTGATTAAGGAAGCCACATTGTACATAGCTAACCCAGGTTTGAATCCCAGCACTGGTGGCTTAAAAAGCATGCCAGACATGTGTCAATGCATGCTCAAAATTCTGTCGCGATAAGGAAATGGACATAAAGGGATTATGCCATGACCATGCCCCATTAAGGGGTGCTTTGTCTGACAAGCATACATGCTCTCTGGCAATTAAAAAACAAACAAAACAAAACAAAAAATCTTCACATTGAATTCAGATACCCTTAAAATCCACAAGTCTCAAGTATGATATTATACTAACTTCCTTACAGAAAGCAGTATCCTACTAAGTAAACCTGACTATCTGGACAAACCTGCTGGAATAGCCTTTGGGTAAGACTCCAACTGGAAGACTGGTATTCAATTCTAAGAGCTACATGGTAAGAAGAATAAACATTAGTATAATTCTGATTTTCTAACCATGGCCCTTTCCCATTCCCTCTTACTTGTCAATAACTTAGTATGGTTTAAAAGAATTTCAGCTGTTTCCAATATACATAATGGAAAACTGACTTCATTAAAGCAAGACATTTTTCAGACTACTATTTTTGGTCTAGTATATGCTAAATAATAAATAATATTAGAAGTTTTAAAAATGTTAAGAGCAAAACATTGCCAGATTAGAGATGGAAGAATTTCAGACATACTTACATGGGGCTGGGGGAACCTAGGTAATAAAGAAAATGAAGTCAAATTTCTTATGAGAAATTTTAGAAAGTAAGTTTTAAATGTCTTGTATAATAAAACAAAAAAAAAGAGAGAAAACTAGCAAAACGTGCATTTGAAAAATAAAGAACTTGCCTACAGTTATGTAAGCAATTAAAACAAATAAAACCACAGCACTTAACTTGCTGCAGAATGTGCACACTCAATCCAGCCGAGATGGTTACACCCACTCCCATTAGTAAAACTGAGACAAAATGGGAAACTAATGAGCTCAGCTGCAGGGGCCTGTCTGTTTGCTTTTTAATTTCATCCATTTGCTCAAAACATAATTTCTATTTTACCCTAAAGACTTTTGTTGGATATAAGGGGAATCAAATGTTTCTAAACAAGAATCTAAATAAGCTCAGAAAATGCATAATATAAGCTTCATTTGTTCTAATGCACATGTGATTCATTCTGTTTTACTATTTTTGACAGTTTAATCATTTGTCTTCACATTTAAAGAACACAAATGTTTTGTGAGTGCTGTCAACAGAATTGAGAGAAGATAAAAAAAAAAAAAGTCACAAAGGTCTGCCTGTTATTTCAAGAGGCCTTGTTAAGCAAATGAGGGTAAAAACATACTTAGGTACTTGATCATGGTATGCAGAAAGTGTGATTTATTATAGAAGCAGAACTATAAAAATGAACTTTTTGAGGACCAGCAGGTGGCATGGTGGTTAAGATGCTGGACACTCCCACACGGCCAACCACGGTTTGAGTCCTGGATCTGGTGGCGTGCTTTCTCACTTTTTTTCTCTCTCTGTGTCTCTCTCTGATCAAATTAAAATAAATGAATGAATAAATAAAAATAAACGATTATGTTTTAAAAAATGAATTTTTCAACTGGAAACTTTTGTTATTTGGAATGAAGAAATAAGTTATTTGAAAACTTTTCAGAAAAGAAAAAAAAATAGTCCTAAGTCTTACGATGACAGTGGTGATTATAAACAAAAATAAAAGAATCTCAAGGCTAAACAAAATAAAAGCCAAAAGGGTGATAGATAAAACAGATAAAATAATCAAGGGTTATGAAATTGGTGTCTGTGACAAACCAATTCACTGTGCAAAGAAAGGCAATATATGAATACAGCTATATTTGGCATTCATTTTCAGCTTTAATTGATTAGATCAGTACTGTTCATTTTGCTCTGATTGGAGCTTGAATTTAATTACAAATGAAAAATTACGAGAAACATTTTCATCAAATTCAATTGCAATAGTGGTTTAATTTTTAAAATAATGTTTAATTTCAGTTCTTATGCAGGAAAGAATGTAAGTCTGATTTTATGACAACAAACATTGTAATAGAAACCCCAAATAAAAAGTGCCAAAGTCAGTCCAATATCTAATAAGGATGTGTGATGCAGGCTATAGAAAATAAACAAATTACGGCAAAAGAATGGGAGGATCCATTCGAATTTGCCTATGTAACATATTGTGATCTAGAATTCAGAAAGGTGTTAGTGGTTAACATGTATGAAAAACTTTATACATGGGGATCTTTTTGCTCAATTAGAGTTGAAATCTGAAAATGAATCCACCAAAACATGTTTAAAGTATCTTCTCTGTTTATACAAAATTTTATTTGAAATACCTTCTACCCAGACATTTAGTACCACCTAAAACAATGTCTATGAGTAAGCTTGTTATTCCTCTTCAATGTACATCTTATTTCCATTAATGATAACGCTTATTAGGAGAGGTTTAAAAATCACAGTAGCAACAGGTCAGCAGGTGGAGTGGAGGCTAAGGAGCTGGACCCTTATTGTAGACTCCACAGCTGGGAGTACCAGATCTAGAACCTTGGAAATCACTCCAGTGGTGTGTGCCTAAGATCCAGAGAGAAGAATGGAAAAGAAGGGATAGTGGCATGGCCATCCACCCTGGGGAGTGATTTCTTATTTTCTCTTGCTCTCTCTCTGGAGAGCGCATGTACCCTATAGCAAAACTTAAAAGAAAGAAAAAATGTAGCATCATTTGAATCTCTCCTTTCTCCCTCCCTCTGTCCGTTCCTAACCGCCTAGGTGCAAAGTCCTAGTGTTCTATGTTTGTGCTCTTCACTCCAGTCTCATTATGAGGACTTAGTTTAAACATTACCTCTATTAGTCTCTTGCAATTGCAGTCTAATTGGTCTCGTTGCCTCTAACCTTAACTCATGCCAGTAAATCTTACAAACTCTTGCCAGATTAAAACTCCAAAGAATAGATCATTTCACTACCCACTACAAACACTTCTAAAAAGATTCTTGCTAAATACAGAATAAAATTCCATGTTTATTAGCTCATCATTCAAAGTCCTGCTCAACATGGCATCAATATACCTCTCCACCATCATTCTCGTCTATTTCAACAAGAAGTATCTGCGGCCTTACAGCCAAAGAGAACTAAAGGATATTTCTTGCATCTGGCCTATAATTTCTAACTTACTTCAGTATCTGTGATTAATACATCCCTTCCACTTAATATTGTCCTTAATTAACTCATCCATCTATTTAGGGTACACTTTAAATGTCACCTCCTTCATGATGCCTTCTCTGAGTTCCCAACTATGTGTAAAGTCCTCCTTTACTGGACACCCACAGCACTTTGTAAATTTATTATATGTTACTTTATACTTTATAACATGGCTCTTTATGGAGCAACTTTACCTCTCTTACTAGATTTCTTTAGAGGGAAATAGCTGTTTAAGAGAAAAATTCCCTCAAGGAAAACACCTAGAGTCATACACAGAGTCAGCATTCATATTCATGTTGAATGTTTGCCTAAGTGAGCATAAACATTATATTGATAAAAATATATCAATTCGGAAACCAGCAGTTAGCGTAATGGCTATGTCGCTGGACTCCCACGTAGTCGACCGCGATTCGTATCCTGGACCCGGTGGCTTAAAACTCACGCCGGGCGCGTGTGCATGCGTGCCCAAGATCCCGGGAGGAGAATGGAGGAGAAGGGATTGCGGCGTGACCATCCCCCCTGGGGGGTGATTTCTCGCTTTCGGTCTCTATGTCTCTCTCTGTCTGTCTGG